ACATCTATAGCCATGGCAAACCATGCAACTGCTATGGGGCCCAGCAGTACTGGGGGCCCAACACAATATTGTGTACAGGTTGTGACAACATTTAGAGAAACTGAATGTATCTGCCATTTGGAAACCTCTATGAGATTGCAACAAAAGACAGAATGGCCTTCAAGATGGAGGGTAGAGGGCAAGGGGCCCCTTCAAAGGTTTACCATGGGGGCCCCATCATGCATAGCCTAACTGCTCCACTGAAACCATTAAAGCTGCAGTTCTCCATCATCAGGACCTAAGAAGCTCCTCACACCCGGCACTGCACCCCACCAAAACCTTTTTTGCACCTCACTATTGGTCAGTTACGCCGCCCATCACACTGATCAGCCAATAGCAGGGCTCCAGAGACAAGAATGGGAAGATGAAGGGCCCCCGGCTTCCAAGGTAACACTGGCCCCTGCCCAACAGGAGGTGTTACTGAGGTACAAATGGGGACCCGGTAACATCCGGTCCCAATAATAGAGTGCGGCACACTTTAATTATTATCACATCTCCTTCAAAGGGGAGCTCCGGCTATATTCTGAACGGAGAAAGCTGGTCGCATGACCAGAGAAACGTCTTTAAGGAAAAGACAGCAAGTCCAGTGTCGCCTTGACATATTATTTTACAGATTTCCAGCTAGAACTGCTAGTTTTTGGGGTAGAGCCGGGGAAAAGTCAAATACTTCTGTGTCCCGGTTAGTGAGCTCTCCCTCCCTCAGCTTTAAAGGACCACACACACAGCGAGCCTGACAACGTTGCTGCTGATTTCAAGGTGGTGGCTTAGCGTTGTCAGCCTGTTACCGGCAGGATCTCCAGGTGAGAGACTTTGCAACAGATTGCCAAAAAAAACAGTTTGCCTATAAAATCTGGGTTCACATATACTTTAAAGGAGAACTATCAGATGAGTGATTTCCACTCACCTCATAGTTCTAAGCCGACCTGTGACAATGAGACTGTCACAGGTCGGCTTAGTAGATCGGGAGGACCATCATGGTTCTGCCTCTAGGAGTCATTCCTGTAACAATGCCTCATGGGACTTGTAGTTCTACAACAGCTGGAGGCCCGGCGTTCCCCCCCTCTGCTTTATATAACATACCTGTACAGTGCATGAGATATGGAAGAGATGCAAGACAATACAACCAACCGAGAGTTCCCGATTATTCATTCCACCAATCAGAACTCATCCTGCTGAAAACAGACGATGGTTTCTGATTGGCTGACTGGGGTCTCTACACTTAGAAGCGGGCGCAGTGCGCGGGCATTTCATAAACTCTGGATACAGAAGAGAAGGCTTACAACCCCTGTCAGGTTTTTAATGACCACTATCACTGGTGACCACTATCACTGGTGCAATGTGACGGGCAATCCAAGAGTTGTCACCAGAACAAGAAGAAGAGGCAAAATCCTGCAATGGGGACACCTGTGCCTGTGACAACTCTCAGATCCGCTTTAGAAAAAGATTTTCTCTTATTTCCTGTGGCGTCTCCCAGGCAGGAAGTGAAGGAGGGATATCTCCCCAGCAGTACCCAGGCAGCAAACCTGATAGGGGTTGTAATCCATTCCTATAAATGTAAAGTGCATGCTCCATTCTAAGCTGGGTTCTCTGAGAGGTCATGTGAGCGGAGAGGGGTACACTGTGTGCCTAAAGAATTCGGGGGGGGTGGATGCCAAGACCTGTATATCCATTATTCTATACAGGAAAAGAGAATCCATAGACACAGCCTCCTCCCCTCCACCGCAGGGGCACACCAAGCTGGAAGGGAAGGTTTGATGATACATTCACTAGGTCGGGGTACAAGGA